TGAGTGCGCTCAAAATTATTTTCTAGGTGAAAACATAAATGATTCCTGTGATACATTTATAAAATTAATACAAGATACATGGTGCATTTGATTGTCAATGCTGTGATAATGATGATCATGATAAACGTATAGAATAATTCAGACAAACTTGCTTCCACATACTTATATTTAAACATGCATCTGTCACTAATTGTTCTATATGACGTTGTGTTTTCATCTACATAATTTGTTCTTTTAATCTTTCTTATAAAGTTATGATTTTGATATGTTCGTAATAAATTTCGGATTTTTGTTCCTTCTTAGTTTTCAAAATCGTCAGTTTTCAAAGCATATATTTTGTTAGGTACACAAATATCGGTACAGCTGGGCAACAAAATATGCGCTAAACAATAGTGAAATGGAATTGTCAAGAGGTAGGTGAGGAAGAGGAAGTACAATCAAAAATAAACAAATGATTAGGGATAATAATAATGAGTGACCGAGAATAGTATATGATAGAAGATATAGTTCAGTTAAAAATACAACCAGCAACACATATCGAAGTTAAGCCACGTCTCCTCAATTTTTTATATGAAGAATGTAAAAGAAAGCTACTGCAGGATCTCCATTGGCTTCTGTTTCCACTCACATTTGGTAATGTCTCAAGCCACTAAGTTGTATAATCCTTAGAATCCTAACCAGGGAAGAACCGAAATGTCCCAGTCTCGTACGTTTTTTTTATATACTATGACACTATGTTGTGAAATGACCACTTCTCCCAATTTTGTACCTCGCCCAGAGTCCGAAAATAAAGCACAACATGAAAATCGCTTAGATGATCTTCGCAACACATGTCCAAACCACCGAGGTCAGTGTTTCAAGATGGTGACACTAAATTGTCATCACTGATCCCGGATACACATTGTCGAACCTCAGCATTGCTAACACGGTGTTGCCATCGAATATCACCACTCCTTCGAAGACAGAGAGTCACCGGACATCTTCAGCTAGGAAAGGTCAGGTTTCACAATCACGGGGCAGGATCGCTCTCCTCGAAGCGTTGTAGACCGGATATTTCAGTCACACTAACATCATGAAGGCGCCAAAGATGAATCAGCTTGGCATAATCCACTCTGGATTTCACTATACGTAGGTTGATCTCATCGATCACGCCATCATCACACGCACAGCTTACCATACACACGAACATATATTGCGGTTCACCACCAAGTATGAGTGACAGAACAGATTTCTGAGTCTTGTAGAAATGTGTTTTATTCGGAACGTGCAAAGTAAATTGCAACGGAAGACGTGCGATTCGGATAGCTTTTGTCTCATATCACAGTAAGACAATATCGTATGTTTACCGAGAGGTTTTCCTCCAGGTGACAGATCTATTCAATCGTAAAGTACAGTTCTTTTTTGCAACAGATTGACGGGAACCATAATATCAAAAATATAACGACGGTTGGCCTTCAATAAGTATTGTTGAGGAACACTATCACTTCGTCCCAGGATTTTCGGAACACTATTTCAAAAGCCTTTCTAAACAAATCAACCAGTTTCCTGATCAAACGTTCGCCCTCACTTAACGAAGAGAGGGATTGTAGGCCATCTGTGACCAGTGAATTGTGGCGCTTTAGAAGTTGGAGTACTTTGTGAACATTTGATTCGTTAGGTTGATCAGTTGTCACCGGTCAGGGATGACAAGACATTTTAATTGGCGATTCCGTGAATAGTAGGCCAGCTGGGGTGTTTTATGAAAAACTCTAGTAACCGTTCAAGACCGTGGATATTACTAATTGGCTTTCCATCAACTTCCGAAATTACTTCACAGACGCCCAACATTTATTTCTGATTATTGTATTTGTTTTAACTATAATTTTGAACAGATAGCGATTGTCAGTATAGAATAAGTGTAAGCCAGAATAAATCATATAACTATAAGTTGTAATAAACAGTGTGATTTCTGAGAACAACCTAAACCAGTAGGTTTTTGGTTTACTAGATTAAAAGGTCAGAATAATGGATTAGAAGTTAACTGATGTCATGCTCGAAAACTCCCAACCTATTTATTATAGATTAAAAGATACATAACAAAATTTAATCATATGAAGTTATGAAGGTCCCATTTGTCATGACATAAAAAGAAATGTGATTTGGATTGCCGAGAAATACGTTTTATTTACTAATGATATAATCTTTGAGGTTATATAACAAAGAAACTCATAAGTCTCAATATTCATAAACAAAATATTTCTTTATAAAACAAATTAAAGCGATTTGAAATACTGAGAGTAGGTTGCAAATTGTCTGATGCAATCATAACTTCTAAGCATAACCGCTCCCTGAAACCTAAAACTTCAAAGTCTGGGGAAGCAACCTTAAATTTCCATAAAATTAGAATAATTAAATTTCCTTTACTTACCTTTAGACATATACTTCCTAAATAAGTCTTGGTAATTGAGTCATACAAATCCTTATCATGTATATAAGCTAGTAATAATTCCCGCAACTGATTTTTATTGATAATTGAACAAATTGCAGGACATTTCGTGGATAGTAGCTAAGGTTATGTGGTGTAAAACGTAGAAATACCTACCACGTTGGCAAAAGCAAGGAAAGATGATGACAAGTTTTCAATATTATTTACTGAACCATCTATTTGTAAATGTTCAAGAATAATATTACTCCATGGACTAGTCAATAAGAACATATCTGTGCATTGTAAGCAAATATAGATAACTTACTGATAAATGGTTGTTTTTTGGTAGTTAAACAGATATATTTAATCAGACAACCATACACTTCGATTGACAATTCTTGAATAAATCTGTGGGTTATGTCCATGATTTTAGTATTCAAGCACATGAAAAGCTGAGAGAAATATAACAGGAATTAGTTAAATTCGACACTATAAAAACACAGTACTATTCAAGAACGCAAATATTGGGATAAAATTACTAATTGTTATTGATAAACAAAGAGACGACATACCCATAATTGACTGAAATCATTTCTTAACACGCTTGAAACCATGTTTAATCACTTTAGTTGAAAACAAGCTAGCAGAATGAAGTGAAGCACTCAGCTTGACACTACAGAACGTTGAATACTGTCAACACGAAACCTTATGAACTCTTAGCACCCACCAGATAAGAAATCATTCTTAAAAGATGCTAGTTAGTCTTATTGCTAAATAAGTTACTACTAAGCCGCTAGACCGTCAAGTCTCCTACTAATTTAAGTAAGATCCTGAATGACCGTGGTAGGTAGAAAGGCAACCTCAATTTTAGGGAATCGAACTGTATTTCAATCATTATCACACCAAATAGTCTTAAATTGGTTGGCTTGTTCAGTAGGGAAGTCGCGTAATTAACACTGATTTGTGAAAACTACTGATGCTCACTTCACAGTAATAGTTTTCGTTCGAGTTTTCAGATATATCCGGCCATAAAAGATGAGATAGTGGTCCGTAAAATGATTCCAATAAACAAACAAGTGCACTGGTCTGAATGAAAGGAGATCCATTTGTTACTGGATTGTGACTCAAAATTCCTAAAATTGTTTCTGGATTCATAAACAGTAACTGTAAAGAAAAGTGATCAAAATTTTAGTATTCGTATGAAAATGAAATTAAAACAAAACCTGGTCTAAAAATTGTTTAATTCTTTGACAACTTCAGAAAGTGATTTCGTAACTCGACTTCATGTTGCATCACATAAAGAAAAAATGATGACAGATCTGAAGTATATATGTATTCAAATTTAACAAAATTATTTTTAAGACGTTATAAACCAGCATGAATTCAAGATAAAAACTTTTTACCTAATGAACTATGATGGATTTATCAATTCACTTTATGGTAGAAAGTACTGAAAGAAGCCTGAAATACTATCTGATAGTGCTGACAAACTTCATCTTCTTGAATTCTAAAAATAATTTTGCCGTATAAATCTAGAATAAAAGCACTTTCTCTGTGATTCACGATGAGGACTTGGTTTCCAAACAAAAGGATATAAAAAACAAAGTGAATGTAACTGTACAATGACTAAACTAATTTTTTTCATCAACGTATGAAAATTAATCGTCTCTTTATATTACTATTGTAACCACTGCTTTATAAAAGCCTCAAGAAAATGGTTACATCACATGATTCCTGGAAGCTCAATGTTAGAAAATTTATGCGTATAGAAAGATTGCAAAACATGGCTCTTTTTATTTCGGAACTCTGATTGATTTATTTTTATGAGTTCGTCTGCTTGACTGCTGAACTTGGACTTCTTTAGACCATGTAGATGTCATAGTTTTGTAAATCAAAAACGAAACGTTTTCATCTAAACGGAGAGTGAGTAAACGCTAATTCTGGTAAATGTTTCTGCTGGTTCTAAATTTATCTTGGTAAACCTTTCTGATTTATAATCACATTAAACATCTTTTTTCCCTGAGTCCATTATCGATCTGTTTCTCATAACTTTAGCTTTCACCATCCATCAAGATTTGTAGAATTTGTCAGGATTCAGTTTTCTTCAACTTTCTTCTTAATGCGTTCTGAGTCACTCGGATTGCCAGACGATTCACTAATTCAGATGGAGCTTTCAAGATTCACCTAAATTTACAGTGCTAAATGAAGTTTGCAGAGCTGAGTCAATATAACACATTGTTTCTCTGATGAGATTTAAGAATTTTCATTTTGTGAGGTATAACATTTATAGAAGTCAATGGCGTTTTTTATTGTGACTTAAGTTAGCCAAAGTGAGTATACAAATGAATGAACGTTTGAATATAGGGGTGAAATACAGTAAGGAAATGAACGAATTTGTTAATAAATTAAGTGATTCAAATACATATTCACTCACGTTACTAACAGAGTCAACAATATCATGATTGACTAATAAATGTTTTGTACAAATATTTATTGAGGCGCCAATCCCTAGAATGGAATCCAATTCTGCAGCTGTGATTTGAAACTCTTCAATATGTATTTTCAAACGATTAGCTGCAGAACTTTGGGAAGTCTCCTTCGAAAAGCGGAAAATACAACTTTCCCAGGTTTGGATTTCTGAACATAGCAGTTTTACAACTAGATGGATAAACAAAATTCTTAATTTGACAAAAATCAGAGATGATCAAGGTAGGATGAATCGTGCAGGTTCTATAAAATTTCACTTTTGTAGTTAGAGAATTTTCAAATCATCCGTATTATACGAGTTACCATTTAAAAAGAATATTCCGTTCCTTTCTAGAGAAGATAGTTTTTACCAGGGCTTGATAAGGTCTCAATAACTGTAAGAATCAAGTATCAGTAGACAGCTTTTTTCATGTTTCAGACCATTCCACCAGCCGACAACTATTGGATTCAGTTGTCACTGAAACCCAAGACTATTAGGCCAGTAAATTGGAATCTATTGGTTCGCACACACAAACATGAGTTAATCCAAGATACAGTGGAACCAACATTCTATGCCATTCATGTGCCAGTAGATCCCTTACATTATCGGTTACTGCTTTCTGCTGAAAGTTCAGGAGAACTGTCTACAGGATTATTATTGACGATATCACTTTACGATGAAATCTTCATGCGAACCTAAAAAATTATCAAATACTAACGCTATAAGATGAAGGTCCGAATTTTTAGTTCACATTGTGTACTTAAAGTCAAACTAATACTGTCAATTTTATCCAAAAGGATCGTTCCTAGTACTGACTCTGTAAGCCGTAATAAATATTTTGCTTATCTCAATTATAACCGATGAGGTAATGAAGTTCTTTATCGACAAGCGATGAATAAAATACACAGCCATGTGTGGAGTCCATTTAGCTGTTAGGAGAACATAAACGTTCTTATTAGTTCAGTAGGTTATGATTCAAATATTACTTTTTGATGCATTAGACGTAGACGTATAAGTATTATTGGTTAGCTTGCTAAAGACACTGGTTCGTTTTGAACAGGTGTGAGTGTGATGAGACTTGAGACAGTATTGGTCAAAGCGTATATTTTATCTAATGTAAATCCTAATAAAAAATTTAAAAGATGGCATGAATTATAGCTTAAAATACAATTAAATTTTAGGTTAGATGGTTAAAAATCAGGGTTTTGAAGTTAGCGTAAGAAATTATGATTTAAGAGTTTAGGATTAAGGGGTTAGTACTCGGTTTAATTTCGAGATGATGATGATTGGTAGCTCAGTCGATGATTTTGGGAGTGTTTCGATCCCTGACTGAACCAACCATCTCGAACAAGAAAACTTAACTAAAACTACTTATGATGTTATGCACGGGAAGTAAAATTCAACCTTCAACTATCACTTTTATTAAGCTGTTATATTTTTAGTATGAGCGTTCAGTAGCTCGAGAAACAGTATGTTGGTTGAGGTCTTATTCAATACTGCTCCGCATATTTCATACGGTTTAACTAAACCAAGAGTAAATTCGACAAAAATCCCGTATTTAGCGAAAAAAAAGAATTTATAGTCAACTAACTTTGTACTTGTGTATTACTATCAGAATTCATCAAAATGTGTAATATGATCTCGAGAAGATCATTTCGAAGTGAAGAATTAGGATCGAATCGTTCATTCGCTAAAAGTCTAATAACTTGAATCATTTTGGCAGATTAACAAAAATAAAAACATACTTTGTTGTGCCACCATGACAACAAACTGAGAATGAAGGAACACTTCGTGTAGAAACAAGAAGGTTATTTTTAACATTTTCACATACGCATATTTCAGCTCATCTGGGAATGAAAACAATTTGTCGAATTTCAAATCTGAAGTTAATTGTTTTTTCCAATGAATTTAATGAATGAAAATTCATTTCTAGATTAGAAACAAATTTTGCATAGTGGCTACTTATAATAAAATATATGTTATATAATCCGATAATATACCATCTGTAGTGCTTGGGATTGATTAAATATCTTAGTCGTAAATGCTTGCCGGTATATTTGTTTGGGAAAAAATAGGGAATTCAAGAAAAACCAATAATATCGCAGGAGTGCATCCATTGAATATACCCTGAAATTTTCACTACACGACAAACGGCATTTGGTATCTACAGTAAATTATTATTTATTGGTAAAATGATCATATTTGTTCCGTGCACATTTTTTTTGTTTTAGTAACAGTCGAATGCTAAACTCATCCTGTTTGAAAACCAGTGTAATTGATTACGTAAATTTTCACGAGGATAATACTATTAATTTTTTGTGACAATCAAATAGGATGGCGTTGTACTATACGATGTAGAATGATCGAAATATTGCAAAATTGAATGCTTTTAACTAAATATTGTTTTGGAAACTATATATTTTAGGCTTAATTAAATAGAATTTCCACATACAGTATTATTCAAACTTATGCAAATTATCAAACAAAGTCTACTTCATTCCGGATTTAGTAACCCAGTTTACTATTCTACCTCACAAGCATGAAATTTAACTCAGCTACATAATTTGTGGAGGAACTCACTATACAACTCAAGCATCAAAATCACTAACTGGATTCTAGTAGCCTAAAACTTAGAGTTACGTTTGAACTTGTTATTAGTACAAAAATAAGGAAACTAAATGATAAGCCGTTTCTTTTATAGATCCTTTAAAGTAGAAGTTCATTGTATGAAAAGAAAATTTAAGGTGGATTTTTCAAATAAACTTCATGAACTTAAGACTTTGCCAAAGCGCTTTGTGATTATAGATCATAAAAATAATAAACTGCTTTTCAAAATATATATCAATTTCGTTTACATATTGCTCCTATTACTTCCAAACAGATAATATCGAGAATAGCTGACGTTGATATTACATTATATATATTGTTGACCAGATCGGTTTGCTTGGCAAATGAAATTGTAACAACTAATCAACACTGCAACCAATTTCCCAACACTTACAAGTCATAATCAAACAGAAAGCACGGGTATATACCAGTAGTCACAAGGAAGGTTAATGAATAAACATCAAGTAAATGATCCTATATAACAAACGGATTATCATAAGTATGATTAACTCTCTAATCTAGCAGATTTTATCAGAAAAAAATAATCGGATTACTAATATGTACTGCTTTAATAAATGTTTCTGAAAAGGTTTAACTCAAGAATTTTATGTAGTTTGTGAACCAAGAACAAGTTATTAAGCTTAACATTGAGTCACATTTTATATATAATTTTATTTAGGTATCAAAATCAAAGTAGATAGAGTTCGGATCAAAAATTGCCGTAGTGTTAAAAAACAATTAAACATCTTTTAAAAACGTTGAAGGTTCAGGATTGAACCAAGTAAAGAATTTATGAACCCGAAAATTGAGTAAAATAAAAGCCTGAGAATATGACTTACAGTGAGAAGTGAAGACGTCTAGAAACGATCCCGGAAGGTTATTTGGCAGTACTGAGAGACAATCACAAATATAAAGTGCTAACTGTTTTCTCTGAACAGAAGAATAACTAGTTTCTACCGATCCATCCTTTTCCTTAGGCAAAAAAAATACAATAAATATTTCAGTGTCTGCAAAAATATCTCTTTAACCAGCCTACTTGCAAATCAGCAGAGGATAAAGTTATACACATTGTTTTAATACTCATGTTATTAAACGTTATTGTTAGTCCTCTTAGAGAAAATTTCGAACTCTGGGGCAACCATACATCATTCAGTTAAAATTTTCGGCATTATCAAAGCAAAAACAGTCATTAGATGTAGTCAACGGAATTTCTAAATTTCTTCAGGCTTTGAAAGTACAGAAGACAATTTCCGGGTTTAATCAACCATATCTATTTGAACGATAGAAAAGCCAAGATAATTTGAGATAATACAAATTGATCATGATCATATCGTTCTTGCATGTAACAAACGAATAAGTTTCATTAGGAGAGAACATGAACTTCGAACCAACTTAAGTGAATAGTAATTTTTGTATTCCCTAAAGAAGAGCTTGTAAACAAAATTGGAAATGAAAGTTATAGTTATGACAATTAGGCAAGGACTTAATATTAGATAACAAAATACTGTTCATCAATCACTTTTTTTTCGAGTTCGTCTTAAAAAGCAAAAATGAAAAACTTTCTGGAATACATATAACTATTTTGGCTTTTCATTCAGAAGCCGTCATAATAACAACATCATTCAGTTGCTTTCACACTAGTTTCTAAATGAATCAACATATTCAGTAAAAGATAGATATAAAATAATTTAAAATGGATATTTCATTAATGACTATGAAAACTAACCTTTAAGCTAAGTGTTTGTATTTCGAAAGTTAGAACTAAACGCTGAAGGACATCCGCATTGTCGAATTTCATCAAACTATTGTACCATACTGTCTATATGTAAAAATTAAATTGATACAATGCAAAAGTCCAGTATTGAAACGACTGAACACTAGTTTTTTTTACTGTCTGTAACTTATGAGCTATTTTCATCATATCGATAGGTTAAATATAACACTTTTAAGTAGTTAAAATCTAAATCCTTAATTGTGGATATAAATTAGTTCATGGACTGAAATCAGCTGGATAATCATTATGAATCAGAGAGATCTAGATGACTCCCACTTATGCATTTGGGATTTAATAAGACGTATGCTCACTTTCTCATCAGGAATTGAAATTGGGACATCAGGGTCCCATTTTAATAAAAAAACGAATATCTTAGGGATATAAGTGCATGATATTCCAAACAACTAAAACGTTATACAAAAACTTAAAATATTATTCAGATTTTTCACGTGTATAACTAAGAGACTAGTTGGATCACCATTGTACTAAAGTAACTTTGAAAAAGTTTCAGATACTTTCTATTGCAATTCAAAGATATCAGGAAAGTCAAGAAACTGAAGTAAATGTTGTGGGGTAGAACGCATTCAATTAGAAAAGTATACTCACCCAAGTATTGGATAATAAGATGTAAGTTGTGGGAAGTAGAGAAAATGCTTGTTCCTCAATCAATAGTTCATCACTGTGGCACTGTAGTATCTACGCAGAAATAAAAAACTAAATGTTTGAAAGTGTTACTTGTTACATATAACTGATTATCTTGTTTTATTTTGTGGAATTTTGTTTAGGTTGTTAATCCTATCATGATTATCAGAGATTGTTCTGTGTTTTTTAGACATGACATTCTTTTCATTATTTGAGAACAAAAATCAAGGAATTTTAATGATGAAATGACACTTGTTCGTTTACATTTTGTTGTAATAACGATCAGTAACAAGAAATATCAATGTAATAGTTCAGGTTCTATAATGTTCTCGATACTGAATTTCAAACTTTTCTGTTATATCCTAGCGGAGATTAAATTACGAGTAACTTCGGAGACTTATTAATGAACTAACATATATATATATATATATTCAGAAACTAGATTATATATATCTATATCCTCCTTATTATAAGCTTCATTTTGTCATTAAGTTATGTTCAGTTTATTGATTACAGTCTCCCACGTTCACAGACACTTTGGGCTTTATTTTGTATAAATGTTATTTCCTATTTTATGGTATGATGAGGCCTGTTTGGCTGTTATATAAACCCAGCATGTCTGAAATAAAGGATTCGCATAGCGGAAGCTGTCATTGGTGTTTTGGACTCATTTGAACGGGCAAGGTGAACAAAGGACCAATAAGGACGCTAGGCTGATCAGACCGGTCGAATGTCATTGGTTAGTGTTATAACTTGCCGTTTGAATACTGATTGTCTTGTTTTGGATGTCGCTTATTGGTATGTCAGGAACGCTTATCACTTATGCTCAAAACGAAGAACCTCTGCGATTCCCACGACGCGAAAGTAAGAACACAAGGACTGGTATAAGTTAAGATTTATTAACCCTAAAACACGATGGCGACGACCCTAGTCGAAAATACACTCATTTATACATTGATTTTACACCCATTTTGATTAATAATTAGGATGAGATCACATATATGAAAAATACTTAAAGTTATAACAATTCACAGATTGAGTATAGTTCATGTCAATAGAATACAAGAATATCGTATGTTATACAGAATAAAAGATCATACGAGAAGTAATGTTGAACAAAACTCATAATTAGTAAATCCATCGAATTTTGACTTTTCTTTCCATCATAGCAATTAGTACAGTACAAGAGTGAATAAGTCGTATTTTGATTGGCGAATAAATGACGTGATAACTAGACGGACTTTAAAGTCACACCAGTTTATGGTTTTACTAGGTCTGTTTATATGATTTCACAAACCACTTCTAACGGTGCTCTTTTACTAACATAAAACAAAGAAGTAGACAAGAAGTTGAGGTATATTCTATTTTTGGCAATTCCTTCTGGTTGATTAATCTTTGATCACCATGGTCGTGAACGTTTTTCCCGAATAAATAAATATGGAATAGGTAAGTATTCTGATCGGTAAAAGTAAGCTTTGTAACTTAGTGCATATTCTTGATCCTGAAAAATGCTGATAGTTCAAACAGAACGATAGATATTGATCACGAACAAAACACCTAAATTATTACATTTCCTAGATCTAATCTTTATATTGGTATAATAGCTTATCAGTAAATAAAGTTAGAAATCGACTTCACATTGTTTTATGAAAAAAAGACTGTGAATGGCATAGGGATGATAAGATGTATTTATATCTCGTCAGTAACAAAAGTTCAGTCAACAAAGCGAACAGAGAAAATTATAATGGATATACCAAATATGAGTAAGTGTGGATGTGTAAGAAATTTTACTACCTGGAGTACTCTTGTTTAAGAGTAACTAGAAACATTATTTAAGGTGCAGTTACGGTTCGTGATCAATAGTATTGTTAACTTTTATACAATCATAAGCAGCTTTGGTTATACACTTAAAGTATTGATTCCTCCTTGGAAAGTTCCCTTAAGGTCAAATACAACTAAGATATCTAATGGTCTTAAAATCTTTTGTGAAATGCCATATGCATTAGTTATCAATCATTTAACTCTGTGATTTTTAGGAAGACGCTATAAGAAGTAAAATAGCTTCATTGGTTCTAGCCAAAAGAGTCAAAAAACCTTCATACTATAACAAAAATGACCTTCAACCTACAATTTTTTGGGCCATTTTGATCCAACAGGGACTGCAATTTTCTAAGTAAGTAGAAAATCGTGGAGTGCGCAATAGAACCAGAGTATGTACGGGCTGTAGACGATCAAATAGTGCTAAAGATAAAATATCTAAACCTAAAATATAAAAACAGTGACTTCATGAATTTTCACGTTTTGCACGTTCACGGTCAGTGGGTTTAAGGCGATGTAGATCAGCGTTTAGTAAGTATAAAAAATCTGTGTTCTATACATGGAAGTGTTTTCTGTACAAATGAGCATATATTACACAGGAAAATACAGTTAATTTATCATGAGGTAATGCTTCCTTATTACTACATGATCATGAAAAACACTGGATGATAGAAATCCAGATCGAAATTAGAGTTGGTATTTTGCCTGACAAATATCACAATTTCTATTATCAGTATAGTGTTCAATAACCTAAGTAAGGAATTAATAATTTGAAAAGCACATATTTACCAGTTTTGTTTTTAAATAATTAACTAGGTGATCATTTAATTTTACTTATCTAAGATGCATTCTGGAATTAAAACAGCATTACTGGAATTCTCTAAATTTAATTAATTATGAAGCACTACTTGTACATATCTTACAGAATCATGTGACTATTACTACTCTCCATAATTACGTGCTTAGTTATCCACAAATAGTAATTACTAAAAACCGAATTTTCACCGAATACGTTCTCATCTTGAGTGATTTATTCTTAAAAGCCTTCTCATTTTGTACAAAAATAGGGAGTTAAGTTCAACTCGTATAGTCTGAGTAAATTTTAAATCCATTTAGTCAATAGCTAACGTTTTCAGAAAATATAAAAGCAATCTACACTTTCACTCCAATATACTTTTAATTAAAGCTATGACACTTCAAATTAGTTAGTAGATATTATTAGCTTCACTTTTTAAAAAACTGTGAATTTGAATGTTCATTATGTAAACGATTCGAAAGAATCTTTTCAATTCCGAACCCGATTGACATGAAAATGTAAATCATCTCAGTTCTCCGTCTTACTAATCAGAAATTTTACAAGCGTCGGTAGCAATAAGATAAATAATTGCTGGTAACTGTATAGTCACAAAGTATTTTTGAAAGCTTAATCTCTTTATTTACTGTTTAGATACCCAAAATGCGAAGTGAAGGATAAAGTGACAGTTTTTTCCCCCGAATTTCAGATTCATATAAAATATTTTGGAATAAAACAATCAATATCATATAACCAAGCAAATAACTATGATAGATTTTCTCGAGAATCGAAATAAATACCTTCTCAGTTGATGATTATTTTAGTAACTCGAAAAAATAACTGGTAAAGGTAGTAATTTCAATGAAGTATCGGATGTAGCACAAAACTAGCAAACATATTAAATCAATTATTTTTAAATATTTGACATTAGTATTGAAGGCTTGCTTGGTCTGCAAGCTTTGCACAAGATGTATCAAGTTTGAGCTCAGACCAATAAGATCTATGTATTCACATTTACAACAACATACCTTTATTATACTCATCAATGATCACGGAATTATCAAAAAAATCCCAGAATTTCGGCAAACACTAGAAGAATTATCAATTGAGAAACTAAAATATCGCTTTACCATATATGTGATGAGAAATTCTACGGTGATTAAAACCGAAATCAGAAAAAAGAAGTTGACTCCTGCCTTAGTGGGAAACTGAATTATCCGCTTTAAAGTTTTGCTTGAGAAAATAACATAATTCCTAGTTTTAAAGAGATAAGAAATAAGGGTTATTCAATCCTTTATTAAAGACCATTTGAATGAAGTTCAAGAAGTTGATGATTGATACATACACACCGTATTTTCTCTAATATATATAGCTCGACATGTCTAAATAGATTAGTCTATCTCAGAAACCTTCACAGTGGTAAAAACTACAGATGACCTGAGGCGCATTCACAGCCTAAATGACACAAACTGTTGGTAACTCACAGAAAACAGCATGTGTACTGTTTTAAGTTCTGAAAAGGAAAGACATTACATCTATTCATCTAGTTCCTCAAGGATTGTTGAAAATAAAAATTGCTCTAGGTTATATTATTATACTGAATAGTATATGGTGAATGAATAAATAAATCAGTTAGTGTTGGGGGCTTTAAACACGTGTGGTGTGCTACTCAAAAAACAAAATAAGAATATTCAGTAAGCTATAACTACGGTGCATACATAAGGTAGGTACATTCTGACAGAAAAATGATAAAATGTAAAGCATCGTTTGTCCCTTAGTCAAAGTAGTTGATATAATGACCTGAAAGTTGGTACACGTAATATATTCTTAATTTCTAGTTCACAATTAAAAATATGCTAGTCTAATAAGTTAAGTGCTTTCGGCAAAATAGTAGATGAGTATTACATGGTTACACTTATAGTATTGTTCCAAATTTAAACCGAAGACAAAATTAGGTGACAAAATGTTATGTCCGACTTTAAATAGAACCATTCTATTTAACTTAGTAAACCACCACTTATTCTGTACTTGTTCGAAGTTTTCCGTAATTTTGAAACCAAGTAAAACTCGTAGAAGTTCCAAAACACTGTACTAATGTTCCTAATAATGGTGGGAATTTCCCTAAATTGGGAAACACTTTGGTATAAGTGTCTTTTAAAACGACTGAAAATAACAATTTGAAACCTCAATTAGCTTTTGTTTTATGACAATGTACGTTTTAGCCAGATCCAGAAGTTCGGCTGCCATATCTGACATACTAGGATTTGGAAAATCAGATTATCATCACAGAAAACTTACTCTGAACAAAATTTCAGTGAACCGTTTTGTATGTAATTATTTTTTTAAACAGAACCCCATTCTAAGAAACGTTGAGTGGTGGTTAGTAGTGGAACCCAGGACGTGCATTTCGTCATACTTGGGACTCGTCAGCTGGATGTACCTGCATCCTAGAGTTGATGTTTACTCTGGGAGTCGAACCCACTACCGTCTGCTTCAAAGGCCATTGGATTACCTACCTAGCTAATGAGTCCTGATAGCCACTTGCTTGTGCAATGAGGTGAATTTTTAATTCACTTGGTATTATTTTACTTCAATCTTCCCATTGATGTTTAGGACTGCAATCGATCAGTCTCAAACTCATTCGTCCAATTGTTCTGTTTTAATAATGATGGCTCTTTATTATGGAATTGTGGAGATTATTGAGTTTTATGAAAATCACTGACCAACTAAAGTTAGACAATCGTCATTCAGTCAGTCAGTAACAACGTAGAACTTCGTACGTATGTACATCAGTTCGAGTTGCCACACCACCTTAACACAGATGCAGTTGTCGATACAAATCCCGCAGTGGTAGAGGTAGCAAGAGTGTAAGCAGTGATCTGGAAGATTAGGGTTTGGAGATGTTATTTAAAGAGTATAATACAGTGAAATAAATTTGGAAAGAGGAAAAAAGGGACATGAAGAATTCAGAAGATTAAAATTTGGGAGAACACGAAGAGTGGATGCACCTGCGCCATCGCAAACGATTTTGAGCCATGTCATTCAGGGTCTGTAACCATCGGTTGCTATCATCTCGCGGTCCCCAACCAGGTAGTCTACACCTACCAACATGACTCAGTCCACTTGTCAGTGACTTCATGGACTTGTGCCATGTTTTGGTCTGGCCGCCCCTAGCTTTCTTCCAATCTCCTCCTATACAACAAAACATCGCACATCGAGGCAGTCGGTGGTTGGGCATACGTAACACGTGTCACAGCCATCTCAACTGATTTGCCATCCTCACCTAGTACCCGTTTCCTAACAAGTGCATTACTTACTCGATGGTCCCAGGATATACGAGCAATATTTCGAAGACACCTATGATCAAATACTAATAGTCTACGAATATCCTCTACTCTTACCGGTCATGTTTCACTGCCATAAAGTAGGACGGAACGAACTGCTGCGCAGTAAACACGTCCTTTGGTTGATAGACGGATATCTCGCCTGCGCCATAAATGACACAAGTTGGCAAAACCTAGACGAGCCTTCTGTATCCGTGCTGAGATTTCGTCACACACCAGACCACAAGGGCTGATGAAAATTCCAAGATATATGAAGCGATCGACACGCTCAATTACTTCACTCCCTGAAGCAACATTTTGCATTTCGAGGGGGAGAATCGCATCCCGAACATGCTTGCATTGTTGCTTAGAGTGGTCAGAAGACTGTATTTCGTCAGCGTCCTCGCCAAATAGAACTGTCATCTGCATATTCTAAGTCAACAAGTGAATCTCCCGATTGAAGTTCAACCCCTGGAAATTTAGATGAAGAAAGTGTTATCTCTAATAGCACGTCAACTAAGAAGTTAAACAAGAACGGAGAAAGTAGACAGCCCTGACAAACACCACTTGAGGTAATCAATTCTGATGACAGTTCGCCATAAGCTCTCACTCGACCAGTTGTGTTCGAGTAGAGAGCCTTTATAAGGTTAATGTACTTCTTTGGTACTCCTTTCAGTGACAAACACTGCCATAGAACCCTACGATCAACAGAGTCGAATGCCACCTTAAGGTCGAGAAATACTACGATTGTGGGGCATCTGAATGTGTTTCTGTGTTCTAGAACCTGACGTAGTGTGAATCTCTGGTCTATACAACCACCTCTGGGTCGAAAACCAACCTGGTTTTCCCTAGTCTCTTCCTCACGAGCTTTGGTTAGGCGTCGAAGTATTATTAAAGCTAATATTTTAGACACTATATTAGTCAAACTGATTCCTCTGTGATTGTCACAAGAGGACTTTTGTCCCTCCTTATAGACTGGCACAATCAGTGAATGAGACCAGTCAGATGGGATTACGTCCACTTCCCAGATTCTACCTAAGACCTCAGTCAATCTCGCAGCTAATACTTGACCGCCATCCTTAAAAATCTCAGGGGTAAACCTGTAAGAGCCTGCAGCTCTCCCATGCTTCAGATTTCCTATAGCTTTTCCAACCTCGTAAAGAGTCGGAGGACTTACATCAACTTGCAATTCAGGTCGACTGGAGATCGTGGGAAACCGAAGTGTGGCTGAAGGCCAGTTTAAATGATCCCTAAAGTGTTCTGTCCATCGATCCAATCTCCCGGATTGAGAATGAATAATATGTCCATCTTCTTCCGAGATAGTTTCGCTAATAGTTGGGTTCCCAGTACCGGTTCCCTTAACAAGTCTGAACAGTTGTCTGCTGTTACCTATTGCCACTGCCTTTTCCATCTATCTTGCTTTCGCTACCCATCACTGTTCGCGATCATCGCGTAGGCTTCTTATTAGCTTGCGCTTAATCTGACTCCGCTCTTCGTTATGTTCAGAGCCAGATGGAACGAGTTTTCGAGCATCTATCAGTGCGGTAGATGCTGCTGAGATCCAGTGTTTCTCCCTAACCTTATGGTTTACCGTACTTGCAGACATCACTTTTTTTCATAGCTTATCGGATGTCGTTCCACGCCGCCTCGGGATGGGTATCGCTTACATGGCTACCTAACTTTTTCTAGTTGTTCCTCAAATATACTCTTAGCCTGACTATCATCAAGTAGGACCCTAAGGGGTTTCTTTGCATCATCTTTCCTACGTCTAGTAGGACGTAGACAGATATGCGCTTGCACTGGAGCATGATATGAGTCTAAGCACGTGCTCCAGAATGGGCGACAGTCTCCTATCGAGCCTCTCCATCTATTTGGGTCCAACGTTGGGACGAATTCGGGGATCGCCATGTCAAAATGTTTTTCCTTATGCTTAAAGTTGATGTTTGCAAGAAACAGGCGGTTATCTGAGCATAGCTCCAACAGGTGGTCCTCATTATCTGTTCTTTGAGCCACGATACCATAAGATCCACCCAGGTGTCTTTCCCTATCGCTTAGTTTACTTACTTGAGCAATAATGTCACCAGCCACTATTACTACATCAGAGCGCCTAGCTTTTTGGAGAAGTTCGGAAAGCTTTCTGTAAAACTCATTTTTTACATCATCTGTTCTGCAGTCAGTGGGAGAGTAGGCCGAGACGACGACGAGTGTCTCTATCTTTCCGAGTCCTTACTGTTCCGTTTAGTCGGACAGCGCACAAACGACTGTCTACTAGGATCCAATCTAAGAGAGCTAGTTCTGCCCTAGGACTCAATGCTATACCTACGCCGGCGAGGTCACGGGAAGCAGCATCAGGGCCTCCAGATACACGAAGTGTGAATCGAGTCGGTTCTTTATTTTGACATGGTGAGGTCAAATGAATGACGCTTCTCGAATCCTGTATGCGCGTTTCGAAGACGCAGCACACATCGATGGTTCGAGATTCTAAAGTCCTGGCTAAAGGAGCCTGTTGTCACATTTGGCACAGTGTTCGGACGTTAAAAGCTCCTAAGTGTAGTTTAGAGCATGGTTTCAGGAGACCAGAAATAACGTTCCGCGTACCTGAGTAGTTTGCCGTAGTGGTGCGAAGTGATAAAAAGAGGCGAGAAGGGTTAGTCGTGGAGATAAGAGAGGTATTAGAAGGTGTAGGAAGGATTTGAATGTGACCAGCTTGGTCTCGTATGCTGTTACGGGTATGAAGGCTGATGTCACTTCCCGGCTGCCCACACCGTGGAAGGGTATTTCTTGAGGAATCTGAAAAGAAAATTGGATCAGTGTTGGTTTTAACGACCTGGGAGCGTGACCACAGAGTCCAAGGGACAATTGTTTTGAGGCCGGTCGCGCTCGGCCTTTTCGTGGAAGGTTTTTAATGTGTTAGCTCCGTTCTTCAAAGGGCCTTATCACCGGAGACGGAAATCCGTGAGGTAAGGTGAGGTGTGACATTTTCAGGGTCTACCTTTTTTAACCCCACCCCTTCTTGTGGGAAGGCAGCATAGCTGCAGATGCTGGTTGTCTGAAGGAAACACCTTAATGCTGTCACATTCCTCTACAGTCAGCAGTACAACTTCGCCCTCAAACCTCGAGTTGCTGCTTTTAGTCTTACTGTTCTCCAATCAACCAGCCTGGCATGGTAGAATCTACAGGAACATATGTTCCAGCCAATATAGCTCGGTTGGGTCATCAAGATAGGTAAGCTTGACCACCGCGTCAAGGTAGCAGCTTCGGTCGGGAGACAACCGTCATTTCAACGATTGTCTAGATCGTTGAAATGATGGTTTTTGTAAGTTTTAGATGTCTTTTAAAGTCCGCTTCGATAGATAGTGGAATAGCACCTAAAGAGCGCAACTGACGTCTGGTGTGACACAAAAACGAAATATTTCAACTTTTTAATCAATGATAAGCTATTTAACTTGCTACAAAGTTATTACAAGTACATAGAAATGACAGATTCGATAGTGGTTATATTTTTATAACATGCTAACATTAAAATGGATTTAATTGCTCATAAACTTGATAGAATTATTTTTCGTACAACAGTAGGATAATATGGTGAGTCCCTTTCAGTCTACTCATAGAAGTTGTGATGATAAAGGATGTTGACAATAATTCCAAAATAACATTATACGCAAAAGAAAGATAATATGTAGTTCACTATGCTATAAAACGTACAAAATTTAATGTGCCGGTATAAAACTTTTATAGTATATTTCAAATAAATGTGTCTTGTCAAAAACTTTAGTGTACCAAGATATCAAGGTCTGGCTCATTCTAAAAAAAATTGTCGAATGTGTTTACAAAACTATAAGCTTGTTTCCTTCATATTACTGTACGTAAAGTGAATCTATAACTAACAAGGCTTTTTGTTCAAATATCACTTACCTAAATGCCTCATGATTTTCACCTTCAACCACAGGGAACTGCAATGTTTTAATATGTTTGATATTACGATTGATTAAAACGCATATAATGGATATTGCTGAGGCAGAAATATCAATAAATTCTTGTCCTTGTATACTTAACTCCATGTATTTTTCAAGACACTCAAAATTTACACCTTGATAGGGAAAGACACCAAAAATACAAAAGCAGTCAATCTGAACAGTATTAGAAGCGCTTTCTAATTGAAAACATTGAGTTATACCCGAAAATTTTGGTAAGTTTAGTCACTAAATGTTTTCCTGAAATAATACTGAGTATTTTAATACTTCTTTGATACAGATATTTTTGGACGTAACGTGAGGTTTTCGTTAAGATACATTCAGCTGGAAAGTAAAACAAATCGTAGCTATAAAAAACCTTGATTTTGAGCTACAATAATAATTAAAGGAGGGTTTAAAGTTTATTTCAAAATCTCACATACATGTAATCCTACATATATATACATATATAAACAAAATCCATGACACAGTATGTCGTTTTACCAGCTGTATTTACTGCTACACGAAAGCTAATCAAGGACCCCTATCATCACAGAAGTTGCTTATGCTTTTCTTCACATCACCCTATATACGAAAAAGAAACTTTTTATTATTGACAAAGCTACATAAGTGGCGTTTGCTCACAGGGGGAATTTTACTAGAACCATATTGCTTGATTACTATTTTGCAAATAATGTCTGTATGTCCAAATATGTAAAGACGTAAATTATCAACTATTCGAATATTTTCATAATAAATTAGTGGCCAAATGCTTTCTATCCTGTAAATATTGTTGTTTGAAATACCTTTCTAAATTTCCGATAATCTAGTTAAATAATATTTCTCTTTGAAGCAGCTGCTCAAATTTCCTTAAATAAAAAAATGTGCAATTTATGAACACTATTGTTTTTAGAAACTTCAGTACTGGTAAGATTAAGAAAAGTTTGTATCATTGTTCTAAATAGTCAAACCATTATGGTTTATACCATTAAATACATTTTAAACTTACTCTTAAAATATTTAAATCCACGAATTAAAGTGGAAATCCAAGTTTTAAATTCATCTTTCTTTAGAACGTCAGCTAAATGTTTGCCCCCTGATAGATACGGAATACTAAGATTGTTAAATATACTGGAGTTGATTGTCATCACAGCTAGCAAAATTTCTCTCGAGAAAAATGTGGAGCAAAAACTGAGACTGACATCCCTAGAGCAAATTTCATTTTGTCATGTAACAAAATATGTAGTTACCGCTTTTTATCGTTAAATGTATGGCAGCCAGATGAACATAAAGCTGTTTTGATGTTCTCATTACTAATCAAAAAGCAAATCTTGTAAAACAGTGGAAGAAGCAAAGTGAAACTTTTGCAAATTTTGTCTTTCAGAGAGTTTGAAATACAGTTTTTGAAGGTCTGAAACTGCTCAAATACCCTGCCACAAATATTGGTAATCTCCTTCACTGAAATGTCTGAGCATATACCATAAGCATACATTGTCGTTATCTTTAGCACGGATAACAAATCCTCCACAATAACATTTTTGGACAATAATTGCTTTAAAACGATAAGAATTTAATAAGATAGAACCTACAGAAACTAAATTCATCACCACAGAAAAAAATATATACGTGAGAGAATATTCGATTTCCATAATGATTTCAGGAACTTTTATTGGGATCCTTTTATTCGTATACAAGAAGCTAAACATGCTGATGTTATTACAGCAAAACTTACGTGTGCATTTCCCGTAACAAACTCAGCAAAGTTGATAATAAAATACACAAGGACTTTTCTTCTATTTTCATGTCTGAATTTGAGATTACACATTCGGTATTCGGTTGTTTAAGGTGTTTAAAATTATAAATTTGTTTTCTTGCAAAATGTTCGACAAAATTTAGAAATTTTTCGAGTTCCTTAATCGGCATAGCTGCTGTCCCTCTTTCATACCTGCAAATAACTTTACTTAAGGAGCTTACTTGAAGATATTAGCGACACAGGTTATTCCTAATATTCCCAAATGTACTGTGCAGTCCTCCATAATATCTGAAATGGCCACCAGAAATTTTCCTAAAATTGATGGGCATATAAAAAGGTCTAGTGGGCCATTATAGCTTCGGAATGAATGTGAACAATCTATCAACTTACTACATTATGAAACCATTTGTAATCTCCACAAGCCTTGGCAAAAGTTCATTTTCGTAGTCACGGTTTGAATCCATGGCCTTTACAATTTGGCCAATTCCTGATAAGAAGTCAAAGTGATCAGTAGTCTCGAATAACTTTAGGATAACTCACCATGTGGTACAAAACTTGAAGACATCAGCTCTACTTCTGTACCTATTCTTTGTAAGCATTTTAAAACGTTTCTGAAGTTATATTAAGAAAACAAACTTAGTACCTGAAACACGGGTTTTTAAAAGAAATATTATCAAACAGGAGTTCTAAAATAATTCAAACCAACGTATACATACCAATAACACCAGACGTACAAACCAATTTAATTGCATCATCATTAAACTTATTCACCAGGAGTTCAATGAATGTAAATGTAATTTCTTTAATTTGATCATCGTTAGAATTTAAAAGAGCACGTAAAACCACCGGGAGCTCTTTATATTTGCAAATATCAACAAAGCTTCGATTGCAGAGAGACAATCTGAACAAACAATCTGTGCAGATGTAAATATTAAACTAATCAGTTAAACCTAGCCCGGTTTCCACAACGTCCTTGCTCTTATTTCTTAGGATTAACTCTGCAACTTTCTGGAAACTGATTTTTACTGAATCAAAACACTTTCTTGGAAGATGTTTAAGAAGACAATTTAAGTAACAGATTGAAGATGAATCCAGGTAATAAGATATGGTAGTAATTAATACGAAAATATAATTTTTGATTACGTCTAATGTTAGAGATAAATCAAGAAATACCTGGAAGCACGGGATTTGCAGCCGCTAGATTGTCCAATAAACTGCAAAACAGCTTAAGGTTATAAATGTAGTCCTGACTTTTGTCAATATTTGAAATAACCTGCGAATAAGATAGTAGATAACTGCGTACTTGATAGTATGTGCAACTCAAATACTTCAGCTTTAGTTTAGGACTAGCTAGGAGAAACAAACATTTCAGAACTACAGTTTGTTTATCGATATATGTATATACCTGTAAAAGTGCATTCATCTTTCTCAAGAAGTTCTGTAGAAGTAGTCCCTGAGCATAAAAATTCAAGATCAAGCAAATTACTTAAAATGGAATTTATAGACTTGTCGAGCAACTTTTCACTGCAGATTGTAGTTTCACAGCGAAGATTGGAGACCTCAATAAAGTTTAAAAACTTGTTTGCATATTGCTGACGGACATTATGCTCCATGGACTGGTCGAAAATAACAGATATCAGACAAAAAATGCAGTTAAGACTTTTAAGTGTATCAGGTGCAGACTCTGAACATGAAAACCTCTCAAATATGAGACTATTACCACCGTGACTACAAATCATTCACGATAATAGGTTAATGACTTTGTTATACTGCACATTATCAGCGCTTCCAATATTCAATTTCATAATAACAGTCTAATGTAAACCAGTTGACTTTCACACTACTTTCTAAATGTTATAATGCATTACCAAAATCTCGAAAACATTCAATAAAAGTAGATTAGCCACTCAAATTCACTAATCTCAGTGAATTCGACGGTTATTTCGGGGTTGAAGAATTTTGGATTTAAGAGAATGAGTTAGTCTCGGGAAAATAGGGTTGTTGAAATTCGCAGCCATCACGTTGCTGATTAGGTGACTGATAGGGCGCACTATGAAAACTGTGGAAAAAGGATTCAGTGGGATGGAGAAAGGACTAAGGTGAACAGGAACTAATATGCCTTGGGTGTGCACCAAGTTTTTAAGTTTCCGTTGCAAGTTGTCCGTTTAAAGGTTTTTGGTCGTCCAAATTAAATAGGGTTCCAGATATGGTCTATCTTCGATTAAAAAATGGAGGGCTCCATCTAGATCGTTGCTCTTTAATGTGGTTTCCATTGAGCAGTACCTAGTCGTATTCTCCGATCGACTTCGGGTAACAGATTTTTGTAGAGAAGTTATGAGGTATCTATTTTGTCGTGTAATTTTTCGTTGGTTTAGTGATCAAATCAAAAATAGCAACCAGAATTTTGACTGTTTTTAAAATTCATGACTAAGTGCATGATGTTTACGTTTTACGTATTATATATTCAGCCTTACGATTTAATATTTATAAATCTGGCTTCTGGACTAAGAAAGATGCAAAGTGTGATTTGGATGGTCACAGTTTTAAAAAGTAACGCTGGAGACTTTATGTCCATGCTGGTGAACTATAATCTATGGGCTCAGCAATCGGATTTGAGGCAATAATCCTTAAATTTATACGTTGAATTAATTTATCTTGAAGATGCCACAGGTATTTGGAGTTTGACAACTCCAAAACCAGTAACACCTTTTAATATGAATCGTACCCACCAAGTGAAATCAAAAGACAGAAGCGAGGAGGTTCGTAGATATATTTAATATGCTATCAATATATCGAGAATCGTCTGACCTAATCTGGCTAGCGATTGCAAGGGTTGTTGAGCACGGTGTTCCCACTCGTGATCTGGTGCGGATGCATGACCGAACGCCTTCAGCTAGGTGAGTCCATTAAAACTAATGTGGTCAGCATCCAATGTCGAAAACGTACAAAGCTATTTATTTTGGGGATTTATTTACCACGACAGATCATTCCCCTCCAGTGGAGTAGTGATAACCCTAAGACGTGGCCAGCCAAAAGTTTAAACCCAATGAGTCTGTCGCTGGTAAACACTCTTCTGATAGCTTGCTAGGTTTAGCAGCGTCTGGTCATCTTTCCTTACCATAAGGGACCACGAAGTACAACATAGTAAGAAGAAAATGTACTATGAAAATTTCGGTTCCTCGTAAACCTCATCGTTCTTTATATCGTCTTTTCCAGCCGTCCTGGAAAAGAAAAAAAATAACGTAAGTGCATTTCGATATAAACTCGTAGGCGCTTTAAGACACAAAGTGATCGAAAAAAGGTGAATGGCGTAAAAGCGATTTTTACAAAATGCTTTTATTTTAAAAAAAAAACAATTTTTAGTACACTTATTAGCATCATGATAAATATATATATAAGCATATTGAAAAGTGATATTTTTTATTATATATAATGCTATGGAAAATCGAGACGAAGCAAAATGTTAACTAGTGTCTTACGTGCAACAGTCATTTAAATTTTATGGAAATCTTACTCTTCTTCCAGAACGCGTTGTTTATTTTTTTCAGATACTGTCGAAGTATCATCGTGCATGTTGGTTGTCGGATGAGGTATTAAATGTGTCGGAGTCGTGTCATTCAATTGCACCGAAGAAAAATCGACGCCGATAGGATTTACTTCTAGATATGCTGCTTTGATGCGATCGATGCTGATAATGTCGTTGGTTACGTTCTTATCGATTTTATAGTACTTAGGTTCGTGTTGAGGAACTTTTAAAGTTACTTCGTATGCTGACTCAAAAGGTCGTCGATTGCAGCTGATAGTGAAGCTTTTATTTGTCGGTGAAAACGTTCTACCAACCAGTTTGCTTGTAGGTGGTAGACAGTCGTTCGTAAACGAGTGATGCCTAAAAGTGTGGTCAGACGACGGAAAAGTTCAGAACCAAACTGACGTCCGCGATCTGTGGTGATGGTTGAAGGGCAGCCAAAGTTTGCTACCCATCGTTCGACGAACGTGCGGGCCACTGTTTCAGTAGTGATGTCCTTGATAGGTGCTGCTTCTGGCCATCGAGTGAAATGGTCTACGCAGGTGAAGAGATAAGAGTATCCAATTGAATCTAGTAAAGTTCCTACCAAATCCAGATGAACATGGTCGAAACGAGCATCGGGAGTTTTAAATGAGCCTAAGGGGCATTTATTGTGTCTGATAATCTTACATTTTTGGCAGATTACACAGGAGTATGCCCACTCCCTCAAGTCTTTAGTCATACCAGGTCGGCGAAACCGTTCTGCTATAAGCTTGATGGTTGCACGAACACCTGGATGAGAAAGTTTGTGCGATGTGTTGAAGACATTGCGTCGATAATGTTTCGGCACGATTTGGCGATCCCTACCTGTAGATGTGTCACAATGTAAGGTTTTCCTACCTGTTCCCATCTGGTTTTTAATGCGTAGTTTAAGGGTTGTAGACGATAACTCGTGCTGAAGATCAGTGTCTTCTTTTTGAAGCTTGACGAGTTTAAGAAGGTCGATTCCTTGGAAACTGTTCAAGGAAGTTATGCGAGATAAGGCGTCTGCAACTACATTGTTTGCTTCAGAGATGTGTTGAATGTCTGAAGTAAACTGCGAAATGTAGTCCAGTTGTCGAGACTCACGGGGAGAGTACTTGTCTGAAGAAGAGCTTAAAGAGAAGGTAAGCAGCTTATGGTAAGTGGAAAGGGTAAATTCACAGCCTTGAATATAGTGTTGGAAGTGCCGTATAGCACAATGCATAGTTAGGAGTTCCTTACCGAATGTGATGTACCTCGATTCAAAGTTTAGCAACCGTCTAGAGAAAAATGCCAAAGGTTGCTAGGAGTGGTTAACACATTAATGTAAGACTCCTTCGATTGCTGAGTCGGATGCGTCTACTGCGATACTAATGGTGTCCTGATGTGCAAGTATTATAATCTCTTCTTACGGTTATGACCCAGCTATTCCTATTGCTTAGTATTCTCGGACACCGATTCACTCGACAAGTCCCCAAATCAGAACACGGTTGAACAGGAAAGAGATTATATTCCAAATAACAAGGTTAGATGGAAGTAAGATGCTAGTAAGAAGCCAGTAGGAAGCACAATAGAGAAAGCGCCAGTATATTTATAGTTTTTACATGAGAAGATTCTAGAGTATTCTCCAACTATCGACTAGTGCTGATTGGTTAAGAATTAGCCAATCAGTGTGTACCAAAGCAATCATGCATCGAGCATGCTTTAATCCATCCTATGTCCCGCTAACACCTCCCCTTGAGGAGATTCATAGGATCTGGTGCTAGGATCCAACTGCAACTGAGTGACTGGCTTGTGCTTTCGATTAGTCCATCGTCTAGACAATGAAGAATTATCACTTTTTTCTTCCACAGAGACTGACATGTCTGTTCCCGGCGTTTTGATTTTTCTTAAAAAAAAATTATGCATTACTTTTAGTTCTCCAACATTCTCCTCCTCTGCGAAACAATGTCGGATCCTTACATCTCCAAGTTACAAATAATAGGACTTTATTTAAACGACGTTTCTCGCATTGAATGTCGGATCCACTAGAAAAGACTAGATGATAATGAACGACCTTTGATTTGAGGTCAAAGTTTAATTCTTCTGAAGCATTAATTTCAAATCCATTAGGAATTTCATCAGTGGATAATGACTCATTACGGAAATCATCATCTAACAAAATTAAATTAGACTTTTGACCATAATTTGACACAGCCGATATATTTTCCTCATTTTTATAAGAAATCTCATCAAAATAACATGCATTATTCTGAGAACCCATATCTGATATATTGTCATTAGAAATCGGATAAGCTGATTCAATATAAATTTCTGTCTCACAATGATTTTGAGTAACATTCTGTATAATTGGGTTCGTGTCACTGCAGTTATTTTCTGAATACGAGTCCCCATAGCTTTCTCGGCTAATATCGCGTGGACCATAATTTTGTTCTGGCTGAAATTTATTTTCATAGCTAGACAGGACCAGTAGTGCTTCATTCAATTCTGGACTCCGGGCTTCATCTACAGGGTCTGTCTCTTGATCATCTCGTATTGCCACAACTTTATGAGCATTCAGCACAGGATTTTCTTGCTGTGAGCCGGAAACGTTACAAATATTACGTTCAGATTCAGGTATAAAATGATTTGAACCATCCACTAGATACGCTTCTGAAATGTCTGTTACTGCATCATAAACAGATTTCTTATTTTCTGGTCGAGTGAAAAGTGTGCTCAATGGTTGTTGTTGCAAGGCTAACAACTTCTGCTGGTGCTGTAATATTAACCGCAACTTTTCTAAAGGAATTGCCATTTTTCTTTAGTTTTTCCCGGTCGCCACTGTTATGATCTCTTTCCTACGGTTAAGACCCAGCTATTCCTATTGCTTAGTATTCTCGGACACCGATTCACTCGACAAGTCCCCAAATCAGAACACGGTTGAACAGGAAAGAGATTATATTCCAAATAACAAGGTTAGATGGAAGTAAGATGCTAGTAAGAAGCCAGTAGGAAGCACAATAGAGAAAGCGCCAGTATATTTATAGTTTTTACATGAGAAGATTCTAGAGTATTCTCCAACTATCGACTAGTGCTGATTGGTTAAGAATTAGCCAATCAGTGTGTACCAAAGCAATCATGCATCGAGCATGCTTTAATCCATCCTATGTCCCGCTAGCAGCAAGCAATGTTGCTTCATCGATGAGTTCCTTAATTGTGAAGAATGCTTTTCGTGCGG